CCAGGAACACCTGAAACTTTCAGAGCCTCTACAGTTAGCTGACTGCCTGGTAACTCCTGCTGATAAGAAATACTAGGCTTCTCTCTATGTGAATACGAAGCAGAGGTTACTGTTGGTTTTCTGGTATTCTGGTCACCTGGTCCAGGAACAGCTGAAACTTTCAGAGCCGCTTCAGTTAGCTGACTATCTGGCAAGACTTGTGGGTAGAAAATAAAGGGCTTCTCTCTAGGAGGGTAGGAAGTAGAGGATGTTGTAGGTATTCCAGTCTTCTGCTCAGCTGGTCCAGATGCTGAAACATTCAGGGCCTCTTCATTGAGATGTCTATCTGCTAAGGCCCGATGGTAGAAAATAATGGGCTTCCCTCCAAGTGAGTAGGACCTTAAAGGTAATGTTGGTATCCCAGTTTTCCGATCACCTGTTCCAGAAGCAGCTGAAACCTTCAGAACCTCTTCAGTTAGATGACTATCTGGCAACTCTTGTTGGAAGAAAATAATGGGCTTCTCTCTATGTGCGTAGGAACTAGAAGGTTCTGATGGTAACCCACTCTTCTGGTCATCTGGTCCAGGAACAGCTGAAAGTTTTGGAGCCTCTTCAAGTAGATGACTATCTGGCAAGGCTTGTGGAGAGATAATAATGTGCTTATCTCTTTGTGGGTAGGAAGTAGAAGGTACTGTTGGTATCTCAGTCTTCTGATCAGCTTGTCCAGAAATGGTAGAAACTTTCAGAGCCTCTTCAGTGAGATGAATGTCTGGTAAGGCCTGTTGATAGAAACTAATAGGCTTCTCTCTATGAGAGTAAAAACTAGAAGGTTCTGATGGTAATCCAGTCTTCTGGTCAGCTGGTCCAGGAACAACTGTAACTTTCAGAGCCTCTTCAGGTAGTTGACTGTCTGCCAAGCCCTGTGGGTAGAAAATGGGCTTCTCTCTATATGAGTAAGAAATAGAGGCTATGGTTGGTATTACAGTCTTCGGCTCAGCTGATCCAGAAATAGTTGAAACTTTCTGAGCTTGTTCAGTTAAATGAATATCTGGCAACTCCTGTTGGTAGAAAATATTGGGCTTCTCTTTATGTGAGTTGGAACTAGAGGGTACTGTTAGTATACCAGTCGTCTGGTCACCTGGTCTGGGAGCAGATGAAACTCTCAGAGCCTCTTCAATTAGATGACTATCTGATAATGTCTGCTGTTTGAAAATACTGGGCTTCTCTTCAAATGAGTAGGACCCAGAGGACCCTGTTGGTATCCCAGTATTCTGCTCAGCTGGTCCTGGACTAGCTGAAACTTTTAGAGCCTCTTCAGTTAGATGACTATCTGGAAACTCCTGCTGGTAAAAAATAATGGGTTTCTCTTTATGTGAGTAGGAACTAGAGGATACTGTTTGTATCACAGTGTTCTGGTCAGCTGGTCCAGGAATAGCTGAAATTCTCTGAGCCTGTTCAATTAGATGACTGTCTGGCAACTCCTGCTGATAGAAAAAACCAGTCTTCCCTCTATGTGAGTAGGAAGTAGGGAGTGTTGTTGGTATCCCAGTCTTTTGGTAAGCTGGTCCAGGAACAGCTGAAACTTGCTGAGGTTGTTCAGTTGGATGACTTTCTGGCGATGTCTGTTGATAGAAAATACGGGGCTGTTCTCTATGTGAGTAAGGAGTAGAGGTTACTATTGGTATCCCAGTCTTCTGGTCAGCAAATACAGAAACAGGTGAAACTTGCTGAGACTGTTCAGTTACAAGACTTTCTGGCAATGTCTGTTGAAAAAAAATATGGGACTTCTCTCCATGTGAGAAAGAAGAAGCGGTTACTGTAGGTA